TGTCCCCACGGATGTCCTAGCGCTGAGCATCCCTGGCCCATCCCCGTGGCGTCCCACCCTTACCTGCAAACCGGCGTTGACCCTGAGTCGCGGCCCCTTGGTGTTGCGGGGCAGGATGGTGATGAAGAGGGTCCTGGGCTGGCTCTGTCGGGATATCTCGGTGGCGTTGGCCAGGACGGTGAAACTGTCAGTTAGGGATCGGGGACCGCTGCCTGTACTGGATCTGCTGGTTCTCCACCTGCGGGGCAAGGGCCAGGTGACTCTCCAGAGAGGACACAGGCCACCAGCCCCACTGGGGAGGGTACCCATCACCCTCGGAGGATGCTGGCAAACCACTACCCCCTCTAGAGCATCCTGCAGCGTGGATGCACAGGACAGGATCTGGATCCCCATGGAAAACAGACCTGGAGCCCAGAGTGAGTTCTCTGCCTGCATCCCCACCCTGCATGCCCAGGTCATCTCCAGGGCAAACCCACCATCCCAAACCCCTCCATGCCCTCCGATGGGGAGCAGACCCCTGCAGCCCTCCCCAGCCTCTCAGTAACACTGGGCACTGGAGCCCACACCTGGGCTCTCCCCACACCCTTGGGAAAGCAGCATGGTGGGCACCAGTGGGTGCTGTACCTCGCTCCAGGTGAAGCTGTGCAGCCCACGCTCCTCTGGCCGCTCGCTGCTCAGGAGGGTGCCGAACCGGGGGGGCTCAAGCACCCTGAACTCCATGCCAAGAGTTGGGTAGTAGATGTTGGGGATGCTGAGGATGCCTACGGAGAGGACAGCAGAGCCACCTCCCGGAACTGTTATGTTGTGGACATCCAAGGGGACAGTGATGGGGAGCACAACCAGGCTCACAACCACCCCCTTCAGAGGGTCTGCACCGCGGGCCGTGACGTCTGTGACAAACCGGTCGCGCTCCTCATTGGGCTTGGAGTGGAGGTAGAGGACTCTGCCACTGTTTATGTCCTCCTGGGTGAAGGACTGGACAGGGTCCAGGCTGGGCTGCTCGTTTGTGTCCTGACCGTGCTGAAGCATTGCAAGGAAGCCAGAGGCTGGGGGTCTGCTCACCAGGTAGACTATGTCTTGGGGAGGGATCTCTTCATGAGTCACCTGGGAGTGTGGGGGAGACAAAGCATGAGTGAGTGGGCTTGTACCTGAGGCTGGGCTACCCACTGCTGTGGGATGAGCTGAAAGAGTCATCTTGCTGCTGAGGCCATGCCTGAACCCCCCTCTGGCCCTGGACAAAGCCTGACGTGAAGACAAGGCCTTGGCTCTGGGCAGGTGGGAGTAAAATGGAGACCCATGGGTGGCCATCCTGATTTGGTGGCCAGGGACGTGAGGGGGGAATGACTAGAGAAAGGGATACTTACCTGTAAGTATTCCTCCTTGATGCCAGCTGCTTCCCCCTGGAAGACATAGATCTCCTTGTGGTTGACTATGCTCAGGGGGCTGGGATGGGTGTCCAAGAACACACTGATGGCCAGTGTGTCCTCCACTGCCACCTCGTTTGCTTCTACAGTGAACTGGAGCTCATCCTGGGTGTTCCTGCTCCCGTTGTGGTGGTAGGAGATCTCTCCTGCCAGCAGGTCATTCTGGGAGAAGGCCATAACTGGCTGCTCTCCTCTCAGCACCGTCCCCCACCTTGGGGGTGTTGTTATCAGGAACCGTATCTCTTCATCTGACCTGATGTCCATGTTGGTCTCCAGGTTGAGGACAGAGGAATCAATGCTCCCTCGGGTGCCCTGGTGAATGACCAGACCGGTGTTGTTGACTATTTTGATATAGGGGTCTGACGCTTGTACCTCCAGGAGTGCTGTGGTTTGGTGGAGGCCGTCTGAGACCTGTAGCTGGATCCAGCCCCGGTCAGCCCCTGAATGGACAAAGAGGATCTTCTTCTTCCTCAAGTCATCCTGTGTGAACCGATAGATCTGGTGGCTTCTGTCATCAACAGACACGATGCTGCCAAACAAGATGTCCTTCCTCACCAGCACTAGCTGTGTGTCGGAGAAGCCGGAGTCCTTGTCAGTGAAGGCAATGTCATCGGTAGTCAGCAGGTGCTGCCCATTGCGCACCACGTTGAAGACTTTGTTTACTACCCGGACAGGGATGTGGTCATTGACAGGTTGGATGGATACCCTGAAAACACCCCTCACCTCTGTATCAGGCTCAGCGCTGCCCTCACCCTGCCTGATGGCTACGAAGGGGATGTCATCCTCCAGTGTCTCAGAGTCATCGTGCTGGTACAGCAGCCGGCGTTGGAGGATGTCGTCGTTGGTGAACTCTGTGATCTCCTCTCTGGAGGCCCAGCCATGGGATGCAGCCCAGGCCAGCCTCCCGTGTGCTGGTCCCTCAATCACCTCATAGAGGTAGTCCATGCTGTTCACACTCTGCACAAACAAGTGGTCCTTGGAGATGATGGCCTGTCCCCCTTCGGCCACGGTCAGGAGGACATTGGTCAGGGCTGGTGCATCAGGGTCTCCACCGATGCTGATTGTGTAGGTGTAGACAGGAGAGTGCTGCTCACCAGCACGGACACGGAACTGGAAGGTGTCCTCGGCTTGCTGAGAGTTCCTGATGGTCACGCTGTAGCTCAGGTGATTTCTCTCCAGGTCCTCTTGGGTAAATCCAAAGCCTTCAGTCAGCCTGTTGCCAAGCAACTCCAGGTTACCCTTTTTGGGAGCCTGGATGATCATGTAGTGGAAGGGGAGTGGGGCAGAGTTTGGATCTTCCAACATTGCCTCCAGCTCCTTGCTGGTGATATTTCTGTGCCGCCTGTTCTTCATCTGGAGGGGAACCATGGTCCTCATCTTAATGGTAGCTCTTTTAATCCTTATGAGGAAAGTGTTGTTTGCCAAGACCTTCTGCCCCACCTGGATATTGAATCTCAGCTTCTCCGTGCTGTCTTCCAGCCAGTGCTCTGGGTCTGTGCTGAAATACTGGATGCGCCCTTGCTCCAGGTCTTGCTGGTGGAAGGACTCGACTTTTTTCCATTCCCCTCCCATGCTCCCTTGCTTCTGGACTTCGCCATACATTAGGGGCTCTGTGAGGATGTACAGAATGGAGACCCGTTGTTCCACGGCGTTCGTCTCCACTGACAGGTTGGCTGTGGTGATGCGTGCGGCCCCTCCTTGGGAGATGGAGAGGCCAGTGTTGTTGAGCAGGCGGATGTCAGGGTCAATGGCAAGGATCCTCAGGGTGGCGATGGGGCTCGGGACTGTGCCGTCGGTCACCTGCAAGGTGAGCTGTAAGTTTGTCCCACTTTGATGCACATAGACTACGTTGCCTGCTTCCAGGTCCTTGCAGGAGAAGTCTTCGATGGGCACTCCAGGATGGAAGTCATACTCCACATAACCCTCCTCCATCTGCTGGCCACCACGCAGCTGGAATTCGAGGTCATCACAGGATGTGTCGTCATCCAGGACCTGCAGGATCTCGGTGGTCAGGTGCTTCCGTGTGTGCTTCAGGATTGTCATGTGGTTCCCATGGGGAAAGATCACCTGTGGGGCATCATTGACAGGGTTGATCATGATGGGCAGCAGGTACATCTGCCCCTGCCGCAAGCACTCTGGGACCCCTTGTTGAGTGGTCACCGTCACCTCCAGCATCAGCTGGTCCATGGGCCCCTCGGAGCCATCGTGGATGTATCTGACTTTCCGGTTCACAATGTCCAACAGGGTGAACTTCCTTCTACTCCTGGACCCAGGAATGTCCAGCTCCAGCTGGCCATGCCTGGGGTCATTGGTGATGCTGAAGAGGATTTGAGACTGACGGATGTTTGCCAGGCTCAAGTCTACTGTTGGCTGGGCGTGTTTCCACTCCAGATAGGCCATGCCCCCTTCGGAGACGATGAGGGGGCTGACGTGCAGCAGCCTGCTGATGTTGGCAAAGGCAGGTGGGAAGCTGCTGTCGGGCTGGCATGGTTCCACCACCAGACCTGGTGCTCCCGACAAGACATTTGGAGGTGGGGAGGTGGGTGCCTCATCCTGCTCATATACCTCCTCATAGTCCCAGTAGTGGTCTTGCTTCCCACAGCCTAATGTGATGTCCTTTGTGATCACAGCATCTTGCAGACTCCTCCTCTGCAGGTTTATCCGCAGGTCCTCCAGGCAGCCAACAAACGAGTGGTTGGTCATGGTCCACACTGAGATGAAAGCAAGATGATGTTCCCTCAGCCTTTGCAAAGCTTTTTCGTCCATACCCCCAATGAAGAGATTTCCCTGAAGGTCCAGGTAGTTGTTGATGCCCCGGTTGGATGTGGATGAAGCATAGTAATCTATCAGTATCTCAAACTTGTGGATGTCCGTGTAGACTTTGACATAGTGCTGCTGCTCATCGCTGATGAAGACGTTGTTGTGCAGGACGATGATGCCATTCCCTTTCTCCACAAATCCTCGCAGGCGCCCGTTGGAGATCTCCAGGTAGAAGAAGTCATTCTCCAGCCCTGCGTGGTAGATGAGGGGTGCCTGGGTGATGCTTGTTGTTATCACAAACTCAATGGTCGCTTCCTTCCTCGCATCCCATGTAGGAAATGCAATGTAGGAGTGTGGCCCTGGGAACCCGAAGGGGTCCTCAGGCTCTGCGGAGAACTGCATGCTGCACCCTTCCTGCACCCGGTGGAAGATCTTGGAGCTGCCGTCAGTGGACAGAGGGGAGAGGACATCCAGGCCATTGAATGTCACCACATGGAGGCAACCCCTGAATGGCGAGCTGACCTCGGCAAGATAGGGCAGGTCCAGGCTGCCTGTGCCACCAGCATAGAGGCCATACTGGATGTCCAGCTCCCGTGCAGGCCCTGCGATGTCCACGGAACTGTTGAAGAGGCCATCGATGGTCAGCGTCATCCTGCCATCTTCCACCAGCAGCTCCACGTCATGCACTGCCAGGTTATTGAGCTGCAGTCCTGCTGGGGACTGCAGGGTCACCTCCTCTGAGCCCAGCTGCAGCTTGGCCTGCAGGGAAGGACACAACATGCTCAGCTCAGGTGACACCTCTCCACTTGCCAGAAATACCTGCAGAAGTGTGGACCCATACCTGGGGGCTAGTGGGAATTTTGGTCCCTCGGATCACTCGACCTCTGGATGTGCTCCTCTCTCATCCCTGCTATGGACCTGCCCTCTTTGTCCTGCTCTCTGAATTTCTCTCCTTTTTCACTCAATCTCAGCAAACCCCAGTCTGAGACTGGGGTCCGCCATGTCCCAGTCTCACAGCGGGGCATTTCCTCTCCCCCCATAGAGCATCCATGCCAGATGTTGGCTCCTCCTTCCCCACTCCATCCTGCCCACCGCCCTCCATCTCCGCAACGTGGGCTGCTTCCAGCCCTTTCCCTGGGAAATGGCAGGGAAATAGCAGGCTTTGCTCCCCGTGGGCAGCAGCCTGGAGCCTGCCTAAATAGAGGGTTAGCTGGGGGGACACATGGTCTGCATTAGGGTCACCTCCGGCCAGCGGCTTGCTTGCTCTCCTGCTTTGGTTTAATGTGGTTGGTGGCCCAGCCCAAGCTGCAGGAGAGGCAGGATGTGTGCTTCGGATGCTCCCTGTTCTTTTTCTTCATGGTGGATGCCAACACCATAACCACAAGAGGGAATTTTATACCTCTGTCCTGATTGCTTCTCATGCCCCAGCTGAGACAAGGGGGGCCTCTTCTTTCTCTGGATACTTGTCTCATCCCTTCTCCTCACTAACCCATCACACCTGAGGGTGCTGTGCACCATGTCTGACCGTGCAATGTGCATGGGCTGCCAGTGTCTGGGTGTCCCCATGACCCCCCCAGTACCACTCAGGCAGTGGGTGAAGAGCTTCCCTAGCTGGAGCCTGTTTCTCTGTATTGAACTGATTCTCCCAACACTCTGTGCACTCTTCTCATGTACTCTTGTCCCCCTGGCAGGGATCCTGGCAGCTGGGCTGCTCCTCCACCCTTGCACTGGATGAAGCTGTGACCCACAGACTCCAGCCTAGTGAGGACTGGGATGCCAGAGTGCTGACCTGAAGGCTGCCAGCTCGCAGCTGGAGCAGGAGGTGGTCAGGCTGGCCAGCGGCCAGGAAGAGTAGCCCATTCCCCTGGCTGGTGTACAGCTGCAGGTGGAGCCGCACTGTGCGTGAGGCGTCTGCCAGAGGCATCTCCACAAAGCTGTCCCCGAAGAAAGAGGCTGGGGAGAAAAAAGAGAAGGTCAGGTAGGGAAGTACACCTCCTGAAAGCCCTGTCTGGGTGAGTGCTGTGATTCTGCAGCCTCCCAAGCCCATCCATCAGTCCTCCCCTGCTTACCCTATAACAGGGTGCTGGAGTTGAGCAGCCTGGAAAGACCCACATGAAGTCTGTTTTTCTGATTTTCCTAGAGGAACCCAGCAGGGTTCAGGTTGGAAGGAACCTTAAAGCTCATTTTGCTCCAACCTCCTGCCACAGGCAGGGTTGGTTTCCACTAGCCCATGTTGCTCCGAGCCCCATCCAACCTGGCCTCGAACACTTCCAGGGACGAGACAGCCACAGCTTCTCTGGGCAACCTGTGCCAGTGCCTCATCACCCTCTGAGTAAGGAAACTGTTTGAACCCAAAGCTGGAGGAATAAATGTGAGTGCTATAGTGATCCATATGTGGATGTGAAACCATATGGAAACTTTGTCTCAAAGCAGGAGGCTGGAGCTGCAGCTGGAACATGTTCAACACAGTATACCTCAGCCCTGGAGGGACTCAGCGCAATGGCATGCGGTCATGAAATGACAGACTGTGTCACAGGGCAGAGGCAGGAGAGGGCAGGATTAAGAGCACAGGGAGTGGCAAGGCTTAATTTTAGAGCTCTTATAGTTTTTAGCTGACTCAATGCATGCGTGTGCATTGCACACATGTTAACCGCATGTGGCTGGGACGCACAGCCACCCATCCTGCTTGGCTCCAGCTCAGCCCATGGCAAAGTTAACTCTGTGCTTAAGCATAAACACTCCAGCTCTGTAAGCTGGAAATGTTTGGGGAGGATATGTTGTGGAGGTCAGGGAAAATGCACATTTTCAGTCCATATGTAGTCACAGGCTGTGCTGGAGTTCATGTGTGTGGAGCTTTCCTGCTATGCTTCACTAATGCACTTACCAAATCCACCCAGCTGCCAACCCACACCTGGGTTTGGGGTCCCAGATTTGCTTTGCCGAGGTGCCACAGGGCAACAAAACTGGGATTTGGCTTTGAGGGTCCCAGTCCCTGCCCTGTTTTGAAGGAATCAGGGCTGGAGGTTGAATGCTGGGACAAAACCAGCATCCTGCACAGTGAAGTAGAGGTGTAAGCATACTTACCAAATCCACCCAGCTGCCAACCCACACCTGGGTTTGGGGTCCCAGATTTGCTTTGCCGAGGTGCCACAGGGCAACAAAACTGGGATTTGGCTTTGAGGGTCCCAGTCCCTGCCCTGTTTTGAAGGAATCAGGGCTGGAGGTTGAATGCTGGGACAAAACCAGCATCCTGCACAGTGAAGTAGAGGTGTAAGCATCAGCTCTTCGAGCTGGAGGTCGAATGCTGGGACAAAACCAGCATCATGCACAGTGAAGTAGAGGTGTAAGCATCCACTCAGCTCTTCCAGCTGCTTCCCTGGCTGCATCTTCCTCTTGCCCAAATTTCTGTGGAGCTGACTGGGGTGGGAATGGGCAACACAGGCTTTGCTTATAGGGTGGTGCAACAAGTGAGAAAACCCAACCCAACAAGATGCAGCCATAGTCATGGAGGGTTTGGAAAGAGCCCATCTGTAGATGTGATGGCAAGGGTTGACCTGGCAGGGACAGTTGGAGCACTCTGGCTTACTGCATTTTCTTTGGAGCTGAGCTCTGTGGTGTCCTGTGTAGGAGATGCTCTTCTGAGCTCCTTTGGGAATTGGGAGACCTCCTTGAACAGGCCACCACAAAAAAACATTTCCTGCCACTGGCAGCAGAGAGAGTGCTTCAGCTTTCCCCTGGGGTCTGGCAGGATGATGTGGGTGTTGCAAGGCCCATCACCCCACCCACTCTGGGCAGGGAGGAAATGGCACCATGGAAATATTTGGCCTTTGCTGGAACACTGAGCCCTCTGCTCAGCCCAGGACAGGGCTGACAGGGTGCCTGCTCATTCCCTGGCCTTTGTGTCTGCCACTGGCACAGGGCACTTTGGCTTCCTTGTCCTCTTTGGCCCGGCCAGTGACTCAGAGCTGCTGTGCTACTCTTTGCAGGGCTCTGTCCTCCCCTGACCCGCTCCCTCCTTCCCATGGTCCTGGCAAAACCAGCTTTGCCCAGCGGCCAGGGGTGGTGGGTGCTGAGGCTCTTGGCACCACCCTGTCCCTGTGTCTGGTGAGCAGGAGCAACATGGTGGAAAAGGGAGTTTTCCTTCCCTCCTTGTACAGCCACAGGCACACTGACATGCACATGTGGCCCCTGGAGACATCCGTGTACGTTATGTACTGGCTGCCGTCGAGGCTCCCCGTGCGTGCATGCTTCATGCTCCAGCTCCCACTGGGATTTTGCTACATTTTGGTTTTGTGGCTTCCCCTAATTCAAAAAATGTGTTTTTCAGATGGGTACCAAGTGCTGCTCTCACAGGGAAGGGAAGCTTCACTGGGCTGGACCCACAAGCAGCTCCCGTGCCAGCCTAGGGGCTGAGGAGCATCTCACCATGGGTACTGGGGATGCTTTGGGGTTGGAAGAGCTGCTCCAGCACAGCCAGCTTGTTTTCCAGTATGCCAAGGGGCAGCAGCTCCTGCAGCCAGCACATTGTGTTCTGCCACCACTCTCCCCAAGCTGCCAAAGTTGTTTTTCTTCTCCTTCTCCCATAAAATACTACTAATAAAAGTCTCCTGGAGGCATTAGATGCCCAGGGGAGTGGTGCTGTTTGCTGGGGAGGAGGAGGGACCCTTGCTCAGATCCAGAAGGCAGTGAGATTTTTCTCTAGCAGCAAAGCAAAATGAGTTACTGCTGTTTGTCTTCCCAAATTGCTGCTTTATTTCAGGGCTGCTCTCCTCCCCACTCAGCAGTCTGGCCAGGATGTGAACACCGCTCAGCCTGTGGCATTTCACTTTCATCAGGGCCCTGCAGCTTCTCACCTTCATCTCCCCTTTCCCTTGCCCTCCACATTAGAAAAGCAGCAGAAAACATGGATTGCTGGATTTTGGGTGTATTTTTTCAGAGGTATTTTGTCCTGGAGGAGACTCCATGGCACAGGGTGCCCTGTCCCAATCCATTGCTTGGAGTGAGCAGGGCCCTCCAGGTACCCAACCCCATCCGTGGGTGGGCTCAGCTGAGCATCCCAGGATCACCCCATGCAGATGCACTCCCATACCCCAAAAGCATCTTTCCCTGGTGATCTCAGGGTGCCACAATCACACCATAGGCGTGTCATGCCCCGAGCTCAGCCTCATTCCTGGATGGAGATACCCAAGCTGGCATTCCCTGTCCTGGCTGTGGACTGGGGTGGGGACCCTGGATGTCCCACTTGCCCCAGATAAAAGTAATTGACGTTCCCAGATCACTACGTCCCAGAGGAAATCAGCATCCCTGCCTTGCCAAGCCGATGGAAAGGCGTTGACGAGGCGAGAGGAGTCTCCGTCACAGTTTCCGAGCAGCCGGCCAGCAGCCAGCAGATTATAGACTGCAATGTCATTTGGGTTTAGGGGTTTTTTTACATTGAAAAAAACAAGGAGACGAGCCAAAAGCTCTAAGGAAGGGTCTGGGAGCGAGGCCCTGGGTGTGCTCAGCTCCTCCCGGGGCTGGTGAACAAGCAAGGGCTGTGTGAGAGCCGGCGCTGCCCCGGAACCCGCCCCAGCCACCGGCCACGCGCCGGCTCCGGGATGCCTTGGCCTTCTTCCCCTGCTCCTACACTTGAAAACACAGTGGGTTTGGCCTCTCCAGTTGCAGCTTTTTTGGTGTTCAGGGGTTTTTTTGGCACTGGGGAGCAGAGCCTAGGGCTGGGCAGCACCATCCACCCGGGGGGCTCCGGGCTGGGGGCGACCGGAGTGTTCAGGGCTCAGCGGGGCTGGTTTGGGCTCTCCTCCATGTTTTAAACATCTCAGCACACAAACTTCTCCCACCTCCTTCCCAGCACGTAGGAGGATGGAGGAGCCAACTCCCAGGCAAGGGGAAGTGCTCAGCAAGCTCAGTGTGAACGTTTGCAGAGCAAAGCGGTGCTGGATGCAAAGAGCTTTCAGAAAGGGGAAATGTCTCCTGGGTGTGAGTGGGACGTGTGAGCTGGTGGATGGATGCTTCCTTGTCCCAGAGTGGGGCATCCCCAGCACTCTTGCAGGACAGCCAGCTGCATTTTGGGGTGTGCAGGAGGAGATGCAATGGTGTGTTTGGGCTACAACCAACTCCCTGAGGGGCTGCAGGGACCCCCCTCGCTCTGCCTGGAGGAGGCTGAGAAGGAAGGAGTGGAACCGACGCTGCCTAGGATAGGGGCACAGCGTCAGGGAGGGGCTGGATGCTCAACAAGGCTCCATTCAGGCTGTGGTGGGGGGCAGGTGGGGGCCAGGGCTGGTGGCTGGTGTGTGTTTGCAGGGAGGGGACTGGAATTCATTAGGGCAGATCTTTAACGAGCGTGATGGGTGCCAGGAGAGCCCCGACAGGCACACGCGCACCCTGAAAGGCTCCCAGTGTTCGCAGGCGTTTCCCTCCCCAGCCACACCGGTTTTCCAACGGTGGAAAAACAGCAGGGCAGTGAAAGCTCCTTGTTGCCTGAACAGCCCCAGGCTTGTGCGGGCACTGGTGCAGCCCAGCCCGCCGGCTGCCCTCCTTCCTGCCCACTGCCCCGTGCCAGCAAGCGGCCCCTGTGCTGGTGGGGTGCCCAGTGCTGGGCTGTCCCATGGGCAGGCCACTGCCTGCCTTCTCCACAGCCTCTGGAGCTGCTTTTGAGGCCTTCTGAGTTGTTTGGGGTTGTTTTGTTTTCCATTTTAATGACTTTATAAGGTAGCGTGGTTGCCCATTGCCAGCCATGCTGTGCTGCACCCACCCACTGTGCAAACAACAGAGGGGCTGTGGGAATGTGAGCTCCAGAGGGGATCAGGGGGATGCAAACTCTGGAGGGATTCAAGGGGGTACAAGCACCAGAGGGGATCAAGGGGGATGCAAACACTGGAGGAGTTCAAGGGGGTACAAACACCAGAGAGGTTCAGAGGGGATGAAAACACTGGAGGGATTCAAGGGGATATGAACACCAGAGAGGTTCAGGGGGGATGCAAACACTGAAGGGGTTCAAGGGGGTACAAACACCAGAGAGGTTCAGGGGGGATGCAAATGCTGGAGGGG